TTTTTTTTTTTTTGGATTCCATTTTTTCTTCAAGCGCAGGGGATATGGGAGTCCTGCTCCTTAACATGGATGGCCGGGGAGTGGCACTGGGCCACCGTTTGCTGCTGCTGCTGTTGCTGCTGCTGTTTGAGGAGACAGCCAACCCTCTTACAAACGCCGGCCGCCGGTACTCCGGCAGGTAAAGGGATGACCGGAAGGTTCTCGCAGTTGCAGATCTCGACCATGAAACCGTCGGGGTCATGGAAGAAGATCTGGTCAACGAAGATTCCCCCTTCCTCCACCGTCCGCTGAACGTAGCTAATCCCCATCTCCTTCAGCTTATTCTCAACTAACGCCAAGCTCTCGCACTACCAAATAATTCACCATTACAATCTCTTTTCAGTTCGTGTCTACGAGAGAAAAGTAAGGAACAAAGATGAAGATCTGAACAGAATAACGGAGCATCTATACCTGGAAGGAGATATGGTTGTCCTTTGGGTTGATCTCGGCTTTTACCGTAATGCTTTCGGGGTTCTCTGATTGCAGAAGGTGGATCCCGATCCCATAGTTGAACAACCTATGAGTCATTGATACTTTTCATTCATTTATTCGCAACATCTCAACGACATCCAAAACCAAAAAAACCCTAGGAAACAAAGTAGCAAGAAAATCAAAGATTAGTTACAGTAATACCAGGCGCCATCGAAATCGAAGGAGCCGGGCCTTCTTATGGGGAAGAAACCAAGCACGTTCTGGTAGAAATCAAGAGATTCCTCAACAGATCGGCAAACGATAGAGATGTGATTAAGAGATGTCAGGGGTAGAGAAGCGCCAGGGGTTTCTATCTTGCAGGTCGAGCCCACCATTTTTATTTGCTTTAGTGATAGAGAAAAGCAGATCGGAGAAGTAATCGAAAGAGAAGTAGAAGACAATTGAAAACCGGAGAAGAAGACAGTGAAGGTGATGCTGACAGATCGGAGAGTATAAGAGACGATGGCTGAGGGAGAGTGGAAGGCAAGACGGTCGCAGGCTGTCTTTATAGAAAGAATGGAGAAGCAGAGGGTTGCATTTACATAGAACCCCCCCAATTTATATATATTTACATATTTCATATTATTAATTTAAAATTTAAATTCATTTTTTAAAAGAAATTTACATAAATGACACTCTATTTTTATGTATTTATGCATAAAATATATATTTTTAGAAAATTAATTGCAGTAATATTTTATATGTGATGTTTTGTATATAAATATAAAAAAAAACTAAATATTAGAAATATAAATGTATAAAAAATTGTGTAATATGTAAAAATTTAAAAAGGGGCGTATCACATGTCAATTTTTTTAATATTATCTAATTTAAATTTAGATAAAACCCTTTTTTTTTTCACTTCCTGACACTGCGCACAAATATTATATTAATGATATTTTTTTAATTGATTTAAATGAGTAGTTGTTGGTTGACATTTAAATAGTTTTTTTTT